CAGATTGCCTGAGTGAATGTCTGGAGGTGTAGGCACCTTGGAATGATTGTGTTAAGCTAGCACTAACTCCTTCCCCCATCCACCTTTATTCTTTTCTTTACAATAAGGCTTTCAAATAAGTTATGGTTGTACGACAGTGAAGCATCGGTGTTGAACACTGATGTCATGCTGTCGATGATGATGATTCTCTCGGTTTGGAATCACCGGCCGTAAACGTCTGCCCTGTTCGGAACAATGTATTTACTGAATTGTTTATCATTCTTTACGAATATGGTTTATCATTCACTTGAACATGCCTGTCATCCCTCTAACTTAAATTTTTAGTTCATCTTTTTGCTCTTGAGAATTCAAGTTTTCTATCATTACAGGACTTTGAAAAATATCGGTCATCACACGCACCGGCAAGCCTGCTGTCTCACCTTTTATCAGATAGTCGTTCGAGCATTCGTAATCTGATAAATTCTGGGCGTCCCGGAGGAGATGAAGAAGAAGATTCCGTTACACCACAAGCTGCTCTTGGACTTATAGGCTCCAGCGCTATGCGTGAGTATGAGCGAGAATTTCAGGACTATTCAGACGAAGTAAGTTGACATTTCATTCAGAGGTGATTCGCCAATAGCACAGATGTTCATGAATACTCTGCGCGTGTTATCGTTTTCGTCTTCCGGGTACTTTTTGTGTGTCAGACAGATGGGACAATATTACCAGATCTCTGTCGTCCTTGTCAGTTCTGAGCCGCAACAACCATGTTCCCTTAGTTGATTTTTTGACGTCCTTGGTTTCCTCTTACTGACCGACGATTGTGTAGACCGTACTCTACCAGGATATGAGAGCGGAATAACGCTTGTTTTCAGTGTTTCCCAAATAGTTACTTTGTTAAGCGGTTTAGACGGATTTTCGTCAGAACATCACTGTCTGCCATTGTCATCATATAATCGATGACGTGTTTGTCCGTTCAGTCTGCTAGTCACCACTCTACATTGCACGAAACCCGAGCATTGTATTTGCTTGCGTTTGCGGAAGTATAGGGAATTCGGTCCTCGCATTTGATGGATTTTGGGATTTCTCTAGTAAGTCCTCACCTCCCAGTATTTTGTTTTCGTAATTAGGGTGCATACTGAAAACCTGGGCCTTAATGGCCACACTTCACCTATCCTGTTTTCTCACTTTCGCGGTTCACTTTGTTTTCAGACAGAGAAGTTTATCGCGATAACTCAGCGTCTTGCACGTGCCACTGAATTTGTGTCCCATCAGCTGGAGAACCTTGGTATGGGTTTCTCCGAGCTTGCACGTTGCCTGGAAATGTGGCCACCCTCCCTGGTCGTTGATGTGGCGGGACAAACTGCTTCGAACGCGTCGCAGTTACAAGCACTTTTGACTCCCAGTCCGCCTACTATGAATCTGAAATGGGACCGAGATCGTCCTCCAGCTCCAGCCGTGATTGCTAATGTAACCCAAGTCGTAGCCAAAGAAACTACGGATCTATCTACCCGTCTAAAGAACAACACTCTCGTTCATTGGCGCGACGCTGCCCAATATGCTCAATCTGTCAGAGCTGTCTTGAACAGCCGTGGTGATCTGGAAGTATGTAGGATGTGAACATGTTCATGTTTAAGCTGCGCTAAGGGTACTTAGGGATTATTCGCATTACTACTATGGTCTTGTATCTTTTATTGTCTCCCGTCCCTTTTTACTTTTCAAGAAGCCACATACTTTATCGATTTCCTATGCGGTTCACAAAAATATGCACATGCACCGTTTATCATTGGTATCCTCACTAGTGTATGTTGCGCGTTTGTGCGGGGATTGAGCATGTATCCAATCTGTTACTCCATCTATGTACTCTCATGAAGGTCTCGTGTGACCTTTTTACATCGGATACCTTGCACTTTCAAGTCATGGACACTGGAGCACACCAACACATGTCCACCATATGCTTCAATTAGTCTTTCTAAATGAAGTCATTCCTCGCTCCCTCATCGTAATGCAGCAATAACAGTAATAATCGCTCAGGTTTAACATCCCATCGGAGCATTGCCGCCATTCCGCGCAAAGGAAGCATGCGGGTAATTGCCCAAGTCTAGACAGGAGCAGTCGATATGCAGCAGGTGGGTTCGAGTCATGAAGCTTCCGGTCAAGAATTTCGCGTCTCAGCAACTGCACCATCTGACCACACCATCCAGCTACATTTTTCGGTGGTCTGGTATTCTATAGAGCCCATAACTTAAATGTGCAAGTTGTCTGACGTGCCATGGCCCTAGCAAGCTTTCAGTGACTTATGCAAATGAAGCAACCAACTGGATAGGTATGTTCACGTTTGTATTCAAATCCCACTGGGAGTCTGCAAGTCGGTTTTATGTTCTTGCTAGTGGTGAACCACTTGTGTTTAGTTGTTTGGTTAATAGTGTAGTTCCTCGTTCCTAATCACCACTACCGAAGCACACATTTCATGCAGGCTTCCGTACTTCAGTTAGACGGAAAAGGCGTAGGAAACAGAGTAAGGTGAGACACGCTTCCCAGGTGTTCATCAGGTGGCTCTTGATCTGTTCGTCGAACTTGGCAATTGCCTTGAAAGCGTTTCGTTATCAGTCAAGGAGGTACAACTGGTGTGCAGACTCGTAGATCTCCTGTCTCGATCAGGGCCAGCTTATAAGCTTATAAGTGTAGATTTTTTTTAGTTTTTATCTGAAGCACAGAATGATTTCCGCACTGTTGGAGCTTATTTAGCTCCCTCTAGCTTTTTGCTAGGTGGTGATGAGGACGAAGTTTGAGCTTCCCGTTACGAGCACGCGGAATTGCTTATGGTTACGCTTCGTGATAAATGTGTTCAAACTTGTGACACTGACAACTTTCATCACCGTCACCACTCTCCATATCACAGTTTCTGCTCGCCTTGTTGTTAGAAGACCTTACTGTGACAGGGTGGGGTGCTATATCCGTACGAATTGGCCGACCGTTGATGCGAGCTTATTGATTGCCTCGGTTGCGCAATATCCTCACACTTCCGCCCCTTTTAGCAGTACCGATCACTTTACTACGTGACCCTGATTGATCTCACACAATAAACAATCGATTAGCTGAAAATTTCTTGGTCATACTTTCTCTGTCCCTGTTAGAACCGTTATTTCACTACGGTAGAGGACCTGAAAGTGGAATCCGAAAATCCATCCAGAGGACAGGAAGGACGTTTCATGCGCTTTGCGAGGGGCTACTTTTCGTGGAATCAGCGCTCTTTATCTCAGGTTGGTTTTTTGCTCATCTCACCTCTCTTCTCTCTGACCGTTTGCTTGTTGATGAATATTCATTTCATACTAAAATTTCTTATCCGACCCCCGGCTGATTTCCCAAACAAGCCTGTGGACAACGTTCTGCTTTACGCGCACATATAGATGAATAGTGTTGTTGCGTTTATGAGAAATTATATGTTGCTGCAATCTGCCCACACATCAGTCTCTACTCAGGCAGTTCTCATCGAGTTTCCTTTAATCCTGCTTTTGCACACCGCACAGTTCGTGCAGGCATTCCGGTCTTTCTGAGCGTCAACAAAAGTGAACGGTCTTCCCGTAGACGTTACCACAGTGGAACACTCCTATTTGGCTTAATCAGTTTTCCCCACGCTCTTCATCATTGTTCCTCTCGAACCGTAAGCTCGACTGTTCCATCTGCAAATCAAACGACAGCCCACAGATACCGTCAATTGGTTGTCATGGCTATCCACCACACCCGGAATCGCATTTCATCGTGATGGGACTGGTTTAACGTCCCCAGGAAACGAAATAGGATTGGTAACCAAACTATGTCACCCCTTTTGTTGCTTGCCGAAATGCCCGTAATCCGAGATCTGACAGAATAGTCCACAGTAGAATGGTAACTTGGGTTCGTTTTGTCTTACTTGGCTGATAACTTACTCGGAAAACGAGATACTTTGATATTTTCTGCGAGTCCAACAATCCTCTCCTTCCACAAAAGTTTCTTATCCGTGATTTTCCCTGTTATTTTCTGGGTAATTCCGGCTTTTTGGAAATCATGGAACACTGGTTTGCACATAATGCGAGGCTTGGACGCCATGTTAATTGTTAAGACAGTGCATAGCACCCCTAGCAGGACAAAAGATATAATTAAATTTTAAAAAAATATCTTGGGCGATTCGCTGCAAGAAACATGGTCGCGCGCCGCCAGTTGCAACCGGGCTTCAGCATCCAAACTTTAGATTCTGGGAGGGGCATCGAGCTAATCTCTCGCACCGAATTTCAACACATTGTATGTTGGAAGCGTTCCAATGAGGAGCATTCTGATGACCTAATGAACAACACTAATCATACTCAGGTGAGCACGGGATAGCTCAGTGTTTAATGCGCAAGGCTACTATCAAGAGCGGTTGTCGTCTAACTCCAGACATTAGTTTCCGGTTGCTCCATTCCAGGCTTTGGCAATCTGGTAGTACATCAGCCGTCATGTTACCTTCGGCAGCAGTGTGTCGAAATGGTGTCTCAGCTTGGCGGTTGTTTATCTTGTTTTTGGTACCACAGTTCATCCGAATTCGACATTGCACGCCAGAAAACCATTGTTGCTTACAATGAGCGACCGATGAACTGTCAGGAATTCTTTTCTGATGCTTTTACCTTCACACACCTTTCGCCTTTCCTGATGCTCAAGTTTTATTTAAAACGGTCATGACGAGAATCACTCGATAGGTGGCATTATCTAGTGAATTTGGGTTCGTGTACAACAGTGAATTATGTGATGCAAAGCAGTCTTTCAGAGCCATGTATTCCCCCCGGGTGAGTTCTAGCTCGATGGTAATATCTAACAAACAAACTGTTTCACAAAAAGCAACCGGTTGTTCTCGGCCAAGTACATTTGTGAGGGCGGTATTGATAGCTCACAACAATGCATTTGTGGTGGTTTTATGGTTAGGCGTATCCTGATGCGCCATCTTAAATTTAGGATGAGAATCCCATATTTACGCATTTGGTATTCACTCAGATGGGTATTTTTGTCGGGTGCATCATGCATCAGGTAGCGACAGTTTAAGTTGGTCGGTTTGTCTGCTCTTTTTTGCGTTTGTTTTTTATCGGTAACTCACAGGTCCAAATATGTGCTTTTTTTAACCGATGTTGTCATCTGATTCCACACGAATGACGATTGTTAACGTACCGTGTGCGAACGTGAGACACGTTCAAAGCAATGTACACCTTACTGATGAAAACACTTCACCACGCGTATTTGTCTCACGACCCTAGTCACGAGACTTCGAGGGCGCGTCTCGCTCTGTTGAATATTATGTCACGGAAGTTTGTGGGCATAGTACACCAACTCTACGTATGCACTTCCTGTCAGTGAGAGAAGAGAATGGGTAGTATTTTATTTCTGTACTTTCTCTGACAGAACTCAAGAGACTCCCCGTCAAGACGTCATATCACCGAGCGAAGTCAATGGGCACACCGGATACTCAGGGGTAGGATCTCGAATTGTCACAAAGTATTTTGCGCCAAAGCGAATACCTGGCGACGTTTGTCAGGCGTCACTGCACTCTCGAACGGCACTGAAGGCCAATGTGCCAAAGAGGACCGCCTATCTGCGATTGCCTTTTAAGGGGATATTCTCATAAATTAGTAAAATGAGGATTGCAAGCAACCCAAAAGAGGACATACAGCTGAACTCAGGGTGCTCGGTGCACCGGAAGAATGCCGTTCCCAGTACACAAAACAATTCTACCTGTTTCCTCATATTCACACTTTCTATTGCCTTATTTGCAACCGCGATGAATCTCAGGTTGCTCAATAAGGTCACTAGACAAACAACCGGTCGTTTCTGCCATCAGCGACGTCTTCGAAACTGGCCCTTTCGTTTATATCCAATAAAATTTCTCTCTTCTAATGCGATGCAATGGGTCGTTAACGCCGAAGTCCATTGTGAATTCGTTGATTACTCACTGCAAGCTAGCACCTTGTGCTCAAAAATGTTGGACAGTCACGTTACGTTTGTGCGACTGAGTAATCTCCACTAAGCACTGCTTGACCAGATTCGTTCGTTCATTTCTTGATCTGTGTTGCTGCCGACGAAACTACGATAGCATCTTGCAATTCATATCGAGCCAGCACCAGAAAAATGAGGTGATGTTATAGGCTACTCAGTCACATCCGAGACAGAATTTGCGGTCTTGTCAACTATTTGGAGCTTCCTAGCTTCTCTTGGATATTTTGTTTCCTACTTCTCGTACTGGGTCTGTTTACCCATGATGAAGAATTTGAAGGCGTTATAGTTGAAAGCCTTTGGTCGTAGGCTGGGATACCATCGTAAGGTATTCATGAAGGCATCGTTAATTTTTGAAAATTAGCTCAATGTACCGTGATAAGTCAACTGTGAGTACCTGACGGATCTTCGTAGTGATATCCCTTTCGTTCATGCTGTGGTTCTGTCTGGAGGTGGGGCAAGGTCGAGTAAGAATTTGTATTATCACACCCATTACAGTGTAGCATTTCCAGATGTTTCACGTGGTCACATGGATGTATTAAAACGTTATGGTTATACGGGGAATAATTGATGATGGTTCTAGCTGACTGATTCGTTTACTACTGACTGATAGTTGTGAGGGGTTGACACATATCGCACACGATAACTCCAAGCTTCCTGTCTAAATCTAATCCTGATTGCATGCGTGAAAAATATCTCATTTGTTTGACTTGGAGATACACACAAAGAGTCCGACTCAAATGATGGCACTGTAATAGTACACCGTGCACACGAACACGGCCAACTAACATTGCAACATCTATTCCAAGTGTGACTACCAGAAGTGCACTTTTGTGAACCGACAACCTGACTGGTCACTAAAGCAGTGCACCGGCCCTTGTACCGCGATCTGAATGGTTAAGCATTCGGTGGAAATAATCCTAAACTGGCTCCATCAGTACGCTTGGATGCCTTTTGTAAATGAACGGAGCTGAGCAGTGTAAGGTGCTCCGAAGTGTGATCTGAGGGTACTACAAACGATGTACAACTGCCCATTGCCCGAACATCTATTAGAGACCGATGTAATTTGAAGTGCAATCACTTATGGCATAAAATCGACGCTGTACTTTCAACTCCAACGAAAACTACCGATATTCGTGTCTAGCTTTAACCGGACGAGCCTATTTCTATGCTCCCTGTTCGGAATGTCACAAAAGTGACCGAGTTCGTAATGTTTAACCGACAGCTGGATGAGTGCAAGTCAGAGCTCTCGACAGTATAAAGTATGCGAGATTCAGGATAGAATTCTATCCACAAACATCTGGGGCTTTGCTTTTTGGCAAGCATGGCTAGGAGGACTGATGGTGCCAGCCGAGGGATATGAAGATGGTGGGTAACCTATACACTTAGTACTGTTTTGGGACAGATATGTGCAGATATGGTCAACGCTTCCTATTCCTGGGTGCGTAGTTCATTTTCTGATGCCAGGTGAAGAACGTCACCAGGAGTCTTCTCGTTGTGCAGCTGGACATGATTGTAGTGGAGATTTTTCCCGCCATGTTAAACGCCATCTGCTTTCTCAGACGCTAAGCAACTGCCTAAAAGTACCATGCCTAAGTATCTCATTATAGTGGAGGTTCCAACCATTCTAACTCGTCGTCAAACGGAAATCTATCTTTGCTATGGTTCCGCATCTTGGCAGTCGTAATTATCTCTTCTATTTGGGTCACCTACGCACCTTTTCGATAGCAGAATCCGACTGAATATACGACTCTCCAGACTTATCGATCTGTTCTACCGTTCAGACGTTTGATGGAGGGTAGTTTGAAGTCCCAACTCGACTGTTTTGGATTTACGCTGATTTTTCATGCGAGACTTAAACGAGCCACCGTTCTTGGTGATAAAACAACCTTCTTGTCCATGGCACAGTGGTTAGCCACTTGAACCCGTTTTGGGATCGTTCTTGGATATTGTGATGTAATAGACACTTGAGTTGTGTTATACACCATGATTCTTCATACTGCATCCTTTTAATAAATAATAAATAATAAATAATCTTTCAGCTGTAGCACCCTTCCGGTGCCTAGCTGCCATGCCACCCGGAGGAAGCACGAGGGCTGAGATACTGCCAGGTTGCCCAAGCCTAGACAGGGGAAGTCGAGTGCCGAATGTCGGGTTCGAACCACGGACCTTCCGGTCGGTAAATTCGCGCTCTAACCACTTGGGCTATCTCGCCCCCACCCTTTTAATGCACCACAACCACTGACCTTCGGTGCTTGTACTCCAACGTTTAAATTCCACGTTTAAATTGGCGTTATGTGAACAAGACTATTTACGCTACCAATAACCGGTGCTCATTTTCGGGTTCTTTTACAGCTTGTCTCTGATGCGAACCAGCTGCAAGATCAAGTCAGTTTTGTCAACGGTCAAATTCGTGCAGAGTTTGGACGCTGGCGAGCGGAGCGGCGCGAAGAATTAATGGAGAATTTGGTTAACATGTCTCAGTCCTATGTGTTATACTGGTCCCGTGTGGTTGACGCCTGGCGGAGTGCAGCTGTAGAACTCGGACCTTATCTTCCCTCCGACCAAGCAGGAGTAATTTCCACCGCACAGCCCTCTAACGGAGTCCAAAACGAAGAAGTGACGAATAGTGCACCGGAGGAGGACGATGTAACGCCGCACTGAATGTGTCCCGATGATTCACAAGAGTAATTCAGCTATGTATGTACCAGATACCGCACAGCTTTGGCTCATCATTTACACCTACTTGATAATTGTTTTTTACAGATGTACCGCAGCACCACCTAATTCTCAATGTTACCCGGTAGGCGACCATGTCCTCGGTCTACCGCTAGCGCCATTCACTATCCCCAGTCACGTGACACCGGCATATATGCGCTGAGCTTTTATCTGATGATTTGGTGTTAGGTTTTCTGGAGTAGTCATTTCTGCAGCATCCACGCCCTGCATGTGCACAACCTGACTGACTCAGTGTACGATCAAATCAGCTGGGGTAACCGAAAACCTTCACTTCCAGCCGTTTAGTCCCCATAGGGTTTCATAGGTTACGTTGCCGTTTTTCTCGCTTTGCGCTACCTGACGTTTCAAATTTCAGATGGCCCCACTACTTACTGAGTCTGCCTTCAGCATACAAAGTTTAGAACGACGTATTAGACGAGAAACCCGGTTCGAACTAGCTTTTGAGTTGTTCGGAAGACCTGATTTTTAACTATTCGTGTGCACACATGGTCAAACGACCGATGAGACGATCTAGACAGTCCTGAAGGACAATTCTTTCTCTTTGTTTTAGGGTCGAAGCCATTCTGTAGACCAATACTTCTGTGTTTAATCACTCAAGCCGGCAAAGTCACTTCCTTGCACCTGTTTGTTTTTTAGTGTAATCGTTTTTTCGCCTATCCAGGTGAATGGAACCGCAGTCATACCTGGCACACCCTTTTACATCGAAACAAGCAGACAACTTCCAAATCTGGCTGTGCTTGATTATCCCAGGACTCATCAAATCGCATCGGATGATGTGACTAACCACTACCCTCTGCATATGCTTTCCACAGTTCCAAGTGGAACATCCCGCGTCCATTCCAACCGATGAACAGATTATCACCCTACCGCAATCTTTCGTTTCAGCGCCCGCATTGTTCAGACTGTTGTTTATTATTCCTTTTGTCAACGAATGTCATGGATAATAAAGATCTTTCTGCTTAAACTTATAATTGGATATCAGGGCAACGGCTATGCAGTATGGTACTAATTGAGGCTTCCCACATGTCAGCTAGTGTTTGGAGACAAAATCATTCGTAACAAGGTAGTAATTGTCCGTGTGGGGTTGTAACGCAGCAATTAGCTGGTCTAATAACCCCCGCGATACCCAGTTCCAACGAAACCCAATTTCGGTCACGTTAACATCTAAACGGTAACCCGAGTTTGGGGGTCACATTTTTCACCAGGATATAACTGGAGCGAACGGTTTATACTATACCGCGCAAATTGTTGGCGTGATGAAACACGCAAGACTGACAGCCGTTAACACTGACTTTATCAAGCTAGGGACACCAACCGTGTTTGTATAAATTAGACTGTCGACCTACCGTTATCGGTGTCACACTGGTGAGCATCGAGACAGGCCTGTCAGTGCGGTCCGTCCTTCAAACTTCCAGGCACGCAAGCGCATGACCCATCTCAGTTGTCCAGAGTACTCCTCGGCGACCCTGGTCTGGACCTACTTGTCATCAATGATGAATCGTGTGTTGAACTGAAGCCTGGATATGGAGCTATACTGGTGGACGGTCGGATACAGCTGGTTCACAGTCATGGCAATCGCTGACTGAACAACTCACTCGCCGAAAAAATTTCCGTCACGTGCTCTAAATGCCTTGCTCGTTGCTTCCTATATTGACCAAGGCAATCGATCTTGGTCGGTAGGATTTGATTTTTATAGCCGTCCGAACGCACCAGATTAGCAAAGTTAGTTGGAGCGGATCCTTCCAACTAAGGCCCGAATCTGTTTGCGCCGTGCATCATGTTGGTACCACCGCTTTACAGACGTGAGTCCATCTGGTGCATACCAGTCAAAAGGGTGATCGGTCATTTTGGTGAAACTCTCTCTATTCCACCTCTGTTCAGCGCTTTCGATGGTATTTGAGTATGACACACGCACCGCCCAGAATAGATCTGTCCCAGGCGGAGGAAATTACTGTTGTTGGGATGCATAATCTAGAATTAGTCTAGGACTACTTATGTGCACTTCAGACGTGCTACAACCCTTGCAGCGTTTAGTCATGTGGACACACCTGAGAGAAGCATAGTTTATGGCGTCAAACAACCACAGCACGCTGTGGAAGCACGGACAGTTCACATCAATGGGCGCTCCTGGTCTGGAACGGTGCCAGACCACCTTCGAAGGTGCCTCAAATTGAATGTGAAGTACAGCTGTGGCCCACCGTATCTATAGGCCCTCGAGAAATGCCCCCGGCACATGGTCATTCGAATGTTTATCACTTTCCTGACTCCATTGCTACCAATTAAAGGGCGGGTGTTGCGGCCTCTCAGTCGCCAGTAAGATACCGAAGTCCCCCAACCAGGGTGCTTTTCAACAGTAGCCTACCACAAAATATCCTCATGCTAACAAATCCATCCGTGTTATTCATAATGCTGTGTAAACCATGCGAATTCGCTTGTGGGACAGAACGTGTTCGCACTTCCCCCAGATCTTATTTTGGTACGACGACCTACATACCTCGGCACCCCAGTAACTGGGGTGTTCACATAACAGTTCCATTATCGAACTCGGCAATGGACAAAGTCACATGAACTCCCGCATCTGGAGCAGGCACGGGATTTTGTCCTCAAGAGATTAGACTATCCTAACCGCACATCGCAAACCGTCGCTGTTCTGCTGCCAGGCCTTGGATAAGGACCGTTAGCGTCTTTCTGTCTGGGTTAACACGATACACCAGTATGTCAGTCCTCATACAAACATGACCCACACAGACACGGGATTTCATAGCACAATGATCGGCACGGAGTCCTCAAACAGGTCGCCCATGCAGCAGGACTGACAAATGGAAACACGTAATGGATAAATACATAACCCTTTTTCGTGTGCCACTACTCGCATGTTACCTTAATTGAGTCTTTGGTGGAACGCTTAGCCATGCAGTGCTTGTTTTATCCTGGATTATCTGTTACATTTAGGGTCCACCGAAGTATCTTCATACACTTGTAGGTGCGAAAGCTAATTAAACCGGAGTGAACTTAGACTACACTACACTTATTTTGACTTAGCAGTAAAGCTGGAGGCGGAATCCATGAAGGACAGTTAGTGTTGTCCTCTTCCCAGTGCTGTTAAGCTGGTTGGACAGTCGGCCCAGCTATTCTTTTGTAATCACTATCACAACCTATCTAGTTTTTGCTACACCACATCAACTGGATCATCAAAAAGGAATATCTATCGGGATTAAGGAGACAAAGTACAGTGACCATGAATAGTACAAAGGAGGGTATGAACGAAGCGGAAGAAAACAGTACAATTAATTGAGAGTAGCTCGTGGGTTCATGGGAGAACGTAGGCCGAGTGGAAATGATCGAGTGAAATACCGAAATGCAGATTTTGTGCGGGGATGGGAGCATTGCTGGATAAAGAAACGGATAAGGGTTGCCACGAACACTCAGTTGATCCGGATATCAGAACCCTGGCGTAACATGGACTCCAGGACTGTTGTCGCCCCAGCCGGTTTCGGTTCTGTAGCGCTCTGCGGCTTCTCGACAGTGGTTGCATCGGCCTGGCACATCTGACGATGAGAAGCGTACCTGGTAAGACAGAAACGTAGGCAAAAATGAGCTATGATATGATCCCACCAATATCGTACAGATGGGCGGTTAATCCAATGAACGCCGATATCACGCAAAAACAAAAGATGAAGGTAGTGTAAAAAGCGGCTAGCGTTGAGAGCGACCATTTCGACAACGGTAAATCTAAAAGGGAAACGGATAAAACAGGCAACGGCTAAGTCGCGACGCCTGGAAATATCTTCATGTGTATTGTCCGGTCAGCTGGACAGCCGCGTATGCAGGTTTGAATCGCCGAAGCTAATGGCAGTGGGCAATGTAGCGTTAAGAGTAAAGAAAAACAGCACCACCGGTTGCGCTGTCAGTAAATACTCTTAAGCCCAAGCTAGTAGACGCTATGCAAAAGTGCTCCGTCTCCAGTGCACCGTTACCCTCGTGAAATCTTCCGGTTGGAAACCACCTAAGCAAACGACAAAGCGAGGCAATCGATCACCTGGTATGGGAGTATATAGCCGAGCCAGCGTAGTTTGTGCGACCGAGAATTGTGATGAAAATGTTTGGCAAACCTATCGAGGATAGAAGCCGCCACGTCTACATGGTCGAACGCTGCCTTCAGACATAAGACTATAATCGCTGGCCTATTTTTGTGGCGGTGCTAGAGTTGTTGTAAGGTGAAGATGCGGCCAGTGGGATGAAAAAACCTACCTAGCTTTTACGATTCTGACTCTTACGAGTTCTAGTAAGTCTGTGTATAATGATACCTGTGGGCAAATTAGGACCGATGGTAACTAGACTGATTCTCGCATTCTGATCTACACAACTCCCTTGATCTTCCAACTACTCCCTATGGGTTCTGTTAGATGGTGAAGTTTTTTTTCCATCCGTAAACAAGCCTCGGGCGTTTTGTTTTTCCATCTTCTATTTGGACCTAGTAGTTCACGTTCTACTGTGGAGCCGTTGGTGCGTTGATCTTCAAGGTGGGGACCTCAGGCCGGCTAGATTGTTACTCAACGTGTCTGACCTACTGAGGCAGGTGGTCGTAATTGAAATGGAATTAGTGTAAACTATGCACAAACCAAACACGGAGTATGTTGGTACCCATTGTGACAGTTTTGTTCACTAGGAGATGAGGGCAAGAAGGAACATCGCGTCCCCCTGTTTCAGTACTGCACGGCAATCGATTACTATGAAAGACAACGCTTGAAAATCACGTTTCCTTCATGCCAGAGACATCCACTCCGCTTAGAACGAACCCATGCAGGGCAGGCGGGCTAAAATATGTTCGGGATTCTCAGGCTATCGCCATTTCCGTTAAACGCAACCGGTTGTTGCACCGATATTATATAT